ACCAACCAACCAACCAACCAACCAACCAACCAAGCAACCAAGCAACCAAGCAACCAACCAAGCAAGCAAGCAAGCAACCAACCAACCAACCAACCAACCAACCAACCAACCAACCAACCAAGCAACTAACCAACCAAGCAACTAACCAACCAACTAACCAACCAACTAACCAACCAACCAACCAACCAGCATCGTACTAACCAACGAACCTTTACCAACTAACCAACTAAACCAGCAGTTGACCAACCCCGATTCAAACAGCTTCCACCAATTTCCCTTGGTATCGGGGAAATTTAATCACTAATTTCCTTTGTCCATGGTATTAGTTATAATTTGATATTACACAAAGGATGATCGCCTTGATAATATATAGAAAAAAATCAATTTTCATAGTATACCTTTAAACTGCCTGACTCCACATTTTCTCCAATAATGTTCAAAATATTTCTCTCGTTGACCATGTAGTAATTCCTAAACTCGTTTTCCAGTCTAACTGCGTCCCCCGATAATGCAAAACCATAGCCAAAGGATCGACCAATAGTTTTTGTTAYTTTGATTTGACTGTTCTTGAACAATGATGTCTCGCTCTCTGCGACGTAAGTGTCTACWAGGGCTCCCTCKACCTCTCTACGGTTTAGAGCCTGAAGGACTTCTTCCAGGTTATGGTACACCTTGTCTGAAGAAGAGAAATTCGGATTTACTGACCATTTTATCAATTTTATCAAATATCAAATCCCCACGTTCATCCGCGAACCGATTGTTTTGTTTTGAAAATGATACATGCAGTTGGAAGTCAGTGTTTTCTGATTTATCAAAATTAAAGCTGGCGATTTTTCGTATGTTATTAACTAAAGCCAAGCAAAGGTTTCATTCAGTCAAAATCAAGAAATCTTTGGATATTGAGATATTCATTATTTTCAATACCGATAGTCAGTGACGGACACGAACAAAGCGCTGAACCGAGGTGTCAATTCATGGTATACAACGAGACACCAAGGTACTAGTGTCATCTTTATGCTCACTTCCATTAATATTTACGCCTCTCAGTCCAACTCTAGTTCGCAATAACTGGACTTGATTGTAGAATAACTATGACGCCTGACAAAAAAAAGTCTGATTCTCTGTGAGCTGATTCTATATAAAATAAATAATCGAATGGTAAAATATTCCTACATTTCAGTGTTGCACCTTTGAGTTATGAGGGTTCAATCTTACAATATGTTCATRAAATTGACGTCAAAGAAGGCTTCATTAGATATACGAGCTTTGAAGAAGTCGCTTAAAAATGGTTTCATGGCATTAAATTTATCGTATGCAATGTAGGGAATAACCATATTACCAGATGGCGTTCATGAAAAAATGTTTGAGCGACTGTTTTTAAGTTGGTATATCTAATGAAGCCTCCCTTGACGTCATTATCATTAGCATATTGGAAGATTAAACCTTCAAAACTCATAGAAACACTGAAATGCAGGAATATTTCACCATTCAATTATTTACTTTATATAGAATCAGCTCACAGAGAATCACAGAAATTATTTGTCAGGCGTCATAGGCACTTTCAAACTTTCATACTTTTACTTACTTTCATCAAAGATCCCATTCATAAGAATCCCTAAGCGGTGTTCACATGACTTGTACACAGCTGCAATCTGTACAAGCAATAAACCAATAGGAGGAGTTAAGAGATTTTGTCCAGACATTCTACATTTTTTGAGATATAACACACGCTCTCATTGGTTGATGAGGTTGATTGGTTGATGAGGTTGATTTGTTTTATAAGATCATCAAGAAAGAGAAACAGGCATAAGAATTAAAATACAAAAAACAACCACAAAAACAAGGCAGACAAACAAAACAAAAACTGGATTTTTTTAAAAAAAAGGACATTAAAACTAAGCAGCCAGCTGTAATCATATAAAAATCTTAATGATAAGAAACAGTTCCAGGAATTTTTGAGAAGTCCTAGTCTTGGGATCCCTGTGGATGAGGAAAGACGGCCTAAAAAGAACCTTCATAAATCAGGTCTTCTTACTTTCGTTCCATATATCTTTTTGTCTGGATGTATGATCACAGCWGTCAAGGATGACGTCATGCTGCTCGTTACCATAGAAGCAATTACTATACCGTACAGCGTCCATAGAATAGCAAACGTACGAGCTAAAAACGACTTGGGAACSCGGTCACCATATCTACAAGGGAAAGAAACAAAGCTRCAAAACATTTTGAATATTATTAACGTTGGTCTGMCTGTGATTTCACAGTAAATCATAAACCAAATAGCATAGACCTAATCGGCTAACGCGTTGCTATGTATATATTACCACCCAATTCAAATCCTGCGGGAAAAAGAACTTTTTTCTTAGAATTAAACTGTGAAATGAAAATACAACGAACAATGAAGCTTACTCCAGGGTGATTTGAATAGTCTCCTTCACGGTTACCTGCGCCATCTTGAAAGGTAGCCGTGCCTTTGCATCGAAGTGAGACGACCACTGAGCGTGCAATGATAGAAACCTTCTTTCACACATACAGACAATTCTTCACAGGTTTCTATCATTGCACGCTCAACGGTTGTCTCGCTTCGATGCAAAGGCACGGCTACCTTTAAGATGGCGCAGGTAACCGTGAAGGAGAATATTGGGTACGTGGAAACGTTAGCTGAATAGGTCTATTCTAGAATCCCTCAGCCTGTAGATGTCACGGAAATGTTCCTTTGGGCATCCAGAATTGCTTCCGCAAACTTCGCGGGTCGTATAGGTATATTGCTTACCCGACGGTTGTCATGGTAATGTACGCCCACCACAATCCTTCAGGTGCACCTTGTAGAAATGAGGTTGGAAACGCTTGTGATGATTTCAAGTCCTGATGAAGAAAAACTTTTGATGAGAAATATCTTGACGAGCCCCATACAATATTCACAGTTAGACCAGACTAATATTTTATGTGTTATAGAGCCTGCCGTGAATACTCGTAGAGAGCGCACCTAAAGATCTTCGCTAACGAAGCCAAGCCCAGATGAATACACAGAACTTACCAGAACCCACATAGTAATGCCAGCCAAGTATGCTATGAGAAACGACATAGCAATCAAAGGCGCACAATTGATAAGAGAGTTGAATAAATTTTGGACGTGGCTCCCAGGGAGCTTTTTTGCTGCAAGAAAAACGACCCCAGGGGACTGGACCAAAGGAACAAATGGATACTCGCCGTATACCTGAGGGGAAAAAAACGACCTCAAATGTAAATATTATATACTAGGTATTGGACTCTATGTACGTGGCGCTACAAAATCACAACTCTAAACTAAATTTCTTTCCATCTAAGGAACTGGACCAAAGGAACAAAAGGATACTCGCCGTATACCTGAGGGGAAAAAAACGACCTCAAATGTAAATATTATACTAGGTATTGGACTCTATGTACGTGGCGCTACAAAATCACAACTCTAAACTAAATTTCTTTCCATCTAAGGAACGTGGTAAAGGCACTCTTAGTAAAAACCAGATATGACAACCAACAATACATTTCGGTATCGCAATATACTCTCTTCAGTCATTAACGTTTATGAAATAGCTAAATATTGTGCGTATTAACTTCACTAAGTGAGGAAAAACCTGCCTTGAAGTCAAATGACAAAAATATTTTTGCTGATGTGCTATTTGGAAAACAATTTGATTGAATATTAACAAAAATATTAGCAAAGTTCAAAACACTCTTATTGCGAAAACTCTTTATACGTATTGACTTTACTAGCTTTTCCAGAATTTTTTCAAAGTACTTGATTTTCATATAGTGATAAAAATCTCAATTGTGCCCTACCCAGCCCTCCCTTCTTACATTCGTCATGTCYTTATTGCCATTCACAGGGAAGCTCAGCCCAGTGCCTTGATCAAGACCTCCAATCATTGGTATCAGCCCTGGTTTCATGGATGGCTGCTTGCGACCATCGTAATSAAAATCAACCACTGTCTTCCCATGACCATTGCTGCATGATCCACAARCACTGACAACCATACTGTCAATAATACGAGGGAATATACCACCWATCGTAMGGTTCTTARATCGAGTTAGGTAGGGTTTATGAGGCCAATAGTTTGTCGGCATAAACTTTGGGCATCGGCAAGTTTCTAGTTAAGAGTTAAAAAAATAAGTTTCAGTACATAAATAAATATTTCAAAAAGGACCAATAGTGCGAATTTATTATCTCCGAGAAACTTCATTGAGAAAAATTGTGCTAAATAAACAAWAGATAAAAAGCCGACGTGTGTCCGAGAATCTTTGCGATAGATTGCTGAGAGTTGATTAGTTCAAAATCAATGGCGATTTGTGCATAAAAGAAAAAATTCGCGCAAAGGTTCTCGGGTACACATCGAACTTTAACAATCGGAACGCATGCTCGAGTGGACTGCGAGTTGATAGTCAAGCACTGGCAATCAACAAAATAAACTCTCAACTTTGTGCAGCTATAGTGAAGGTCATTTCCTAACCTCCAACGACGATACTGGTTGGCCCATCTCCAGCCGATGTAAACGCAGATAACAGAATCTCATACTCWGAATARGAAGTCAAATTCTCCAAGAYAACCGACGTTGCKTGTGGCTCAACTGTCATYATCATGGGTTTTGCGTTTTCYAAAGGATTTCCTGATGTTTTCAATATTGTATATCTAATCCTATGTCCCTTTAACACGCCATTTACGTCATCCTCTGGTATTGGTTGCCATGACAACTTCATTGATGAGGTAGAGATGAAGTCGAGGACTTTTGTGTTTGCTGGCGATGAGCTTGGTTCTTTTTGAGAATAAAAGARGCATGCTTAGTTAAATGTTAGGCTGAACCGGTTACAAACATTCACTGGAAAAAATCGCGCGCTTTAAAGGTTGTAAATTTGATGTATGTCGTAAGTGTCCAAACGTCTGTAAATTTAATGGAATAAAATAATTTACATCAAATTTACAGAATTTTGAACACTATCACATCATATTTACATCAAATTTACAACCTTTAAAGCGCGCGATTTTTTCCAGTGATTAAGGCTTAATTTCAATAATGTGATAAAATGCTAGCCAATCCCTGCATTTCTGGGGTCGCTTTGAGTCTTGAACATTTTATGACTTCAAGAGAGTGTCCATTAGAGGACGTACATCTCAAAACCGAACTTATTTTTTATATTCTACTTACTGTCCTCATCTGTTCTCACTATCAACACACTTTGCGATCCACAGCCTTTAGAAGTAAAACCACACACTCTAATATCATAATGTGTGTATTCATCCAAACCGTTGAACAAGCTGGACAGTTTTTCCTTGCTATAAATAAGAGCTATCTGTTTTCCTGTTTTCTGATTGGTCAGCGTCARGTTATATCCTCTAAATATCCCATGGTGATACGCTGGGTTGATGGGRTTCCACAGCACCGCGATGTAAGTGGAATTCTTGGAAACGACTTGAAAGTTTGGTGGACTTTGGCTGGGAACTGAAGAAATATGAAAAATTGTGTAGAGAATTGTTAAAATGCAGACACCTCCGCAGGTGTCATTTTTATATAATTTTGGTATTTCCAGCACAGACTCTCTTCCTGTCCACTCTACTCTTGGTGCGCTTTCCATTTGTCAGAACTGGCTGGCCAGACCCAGAGAAAATGTCATTATATATCATTCCCATTTAGTTAGGAAATTCAAATTTTCAAATTCTATCCATTATTCTACAGAAAACCTCGAAATGACTGAAAAATGTTGACAAAAAGCATGATATACCTCAAAATAGAGTGGACTGGTCGGCCAGTTCTGCCTAAATGGAAAGCACCCTTGGACTTCTTGACTTTTTCAATATGACCGACTGAGGGGGACTTGTCTGCGGTCCAAGTGGATATCACAGGGATCCAAAAAATGAAAAATAAAGTGACAGCGATTTACTGTTGTCCTTTTCAATTTGTAGAAAAATCATCCCCCCGGAAATAGTACCTACCATCCTCATCCGTTTTTACGTCCAGGGGGTCACTTGGTATTCCATTCCCGTTAGCAGTCGCTGCTAGAATTCTTAATGAGTAATCAGTGTACTTTAGCAAGCCATCGATGACAGTTGAAGTATCTTGGGGGCGGACRGACTTCATTTTATCTACTGTGTATTGTTGAGATTTCTCACGGTAGAAGATTATATAACTGCTCAAGCTCAGCCCGTGGAGATCAGAGGAGGAGATTGGTAACCATTTGAGGTTGAGTGACGTAGAACTGATATTTTTGGCTTCAGTAAAGGTGGGGCTTGAAGTTGGCACTGAAGCGAAATGAAACGTTAATGGTCCGATTCAGACGTTGRTTTTCATAGTGTCTAGTCTAAYTGYTGKAGTTGAGTTTRTGAGCATTTCGTWGTTTCATATAGTTTATTCTAGGGTTAACAGTTTCATAGCGAGTCAGTTCAATGCTTGGTAATGAATGGTTATGAGAATTCCGTAATATTAATTCAATGGCATT